ATAGTCATTATTGAGTTGGTGTCTCGTCTAGCGAGTCAATCCCTGCGGAGTCGATCGAGTTGACAGCCGAGCAGCGAGTGCCGAGTAGGTCGTCGAGTTCACCGAAAGAGACTTGTAGTGTATCGCGGTTAGTGCATCGTCGAGAGAGCGTGTTGAACTCCGGGAACGACTGAAACGAAGAGTCGGGAGCCGTGCTCTGTGTGTCATCGAGTGCATTGAGAGTTGTAGCGTGGAGAGTCTCGAGAGTACGTGGAGTTCCGAGAACGACCGAGCAGAGTCAGGAGCTGTACTCTGGTGCTTTTCAGTGAAGCTGTCTTCACCGTGATAGCCTGATAACCTAAAGGCTGTGTCGCTGATCATGTCAGCGTGTTTATAGTAGTTCACCGACGACTGTAAAACGTATTTTTGAGCTGTCCTGACAATACTGGAAAATAAAGTGTGTTTCGATACTTCAAGTGTCGTCGTTATTCACTCCAAATCCACACAAACCTCGTACGAACGTGAAGGAAGAAAATAACGTAACAACTGCTGTCAGAAAAGAAAAACGCAACAATATTTACAAAGCACAGCTAATGCGTTTAAGTTGATTAAACTGAAAACAAATAAGACATATTTAAGAATGAAAAACAGTTTATAGAAAACGCTCTATATAAATAGTGGATCGACAAGAAAGTAATATCGGTTTGCACAAATAAAAAAAAGATAGCGTTATGGTCGTTTTATTATTCTTCCGTCAATCTCATTTTTTTTTCTATTCAGATTTGACATCTGATACTTTTAGGTTGTTATGAAAACCATCTTCATACATCACTTCTTTATTTTCATAAAGGCAAGAAAGCTAGAGGCTCACAAAGAGATATGTGAAACTTACGGTGTTGATTGAGAAACAGAACGCATGCGTCAGAACCGGTTTAAAAAATTTCATTCCGAAGAATTTTCACTTGAAGACAACTAACGTTCTGGCCGACCTTCTGGCGTTGATGATGACAAAATTGAAGCCATAATTAAATCGACTCGTCATATAACTGTGCGAGGGATTGCAGATAAGTTAAATGTATCACACACAACAATTGAAAAATCACACAAGATGTCTTGGACTCGTTAAGAAATTCAATACTTCGGTTCCTCCATGAGTTGAAAGAAATCGACCCTTTTTTTAAATGAATTATCACTGGTGATGAAAAGTGGATCGTCTGTAATATTAATCGAAAAAGATCATAATCCAAGCATCATGAATTAGCACAAATTATATCGAAAAGTAAATTGCATCATAAAAAGAAAATACTGTTAGTTTGGTGGAATTACAAATATGTATTTTGGTCTGTTTCTAAGCAACCAAACTATCAACTCGGATGCTTACTACCTATAGCTTACGAAATTGGCGTAAGCAATCAAAGAGAAAAGGCCGCAAATCGCAAAGGAATCGTTTTCCACCACGACAATGCAAGACCTCCCACTTTATTACCAACAGGTACGAAATTACTGTAACTTGGATGGGAAATGATATCACATTCTCCATACAGCCCTGACGTTTCACCATTGCATTATTATTTATTTCGAAGTTTAAAAAAATTTCAGTAATGAAGACGATCTCAAATTGCACTTGATTGAGATTTTTGCTGACAAAGACTAGAAGATCTGTAACAGTCACGAAGATACAAGAAAGATATGAAAAGGTCATCGAACAGAATAAAAGATATTTGATTTCATATTTGACTGAAGTTCATTTTTTGTCTAGGAAAAAAACTGAATTTTATTTCTCACTAAAAAACCAAAATTTCTTGTCAACCCGATATATATTTTGAACTACCATATCACTGAATAAAGGAATCGCAGTTAATATGAAAGAAGTCTTATTTTCATTTGTCATCTTTTGAAATCTCGAATAAACTGGATACAGCGCCGTCATTCACTGTAAGCGTCATTGTTCAGCACGTTTTTTCTCACGATACTTACTTTTTATTATAGCGATTTTACCTTAAAAAATATGGGGTTGCACATTTAACTTTTAATGACGTCCGAAATCTACTGTCGAATTTTATTTTCAGTGTATTGTCGCAAGGCTTTTCAATTTTTCTTTCGGCTGAAGTAAATTCGCATGAAGCTACCGCTTTGAAAAAAACCTTGAATCCAAACGACTTTGTTGATTTTATTTCCTGGAAAATAATTTTTTAATTGATAAACCGATAAATACTTCACAAAACTAGAGATTTTTGCAACGTCTGTTAAATGATTTTCCTTCGTAACACCAGCATATAGGTTCTACTGCGCGGACCGTACTCACATGGATATCATTCAAATGTCATTTCTATAAAATTATTCAAATATCCAAAGTGCTGCGGTGCGCAGTTCGGAAAGTAAATCAGTTTATCATAGTCGGTTCTTTCAGTGACCCAGAAGAGCAATATCAGGAAAATGATTTTTTTTCCCGTGAAATAATTCAGTCCTGTGATATATAATACAAATGCACTGGTGTAAAATTTCTTGTAATTACTGTTAGCATTATCAGTATTTTAAATAACTTTACGTGTTCTGACCAATTCAGTTTACTTGTGAAAACTGCAGACCCGTCCTAAGTTATAAAATATAATTATATATTTGTTCTAATGAAGTAACGTCGTCAAAATTCAGACACATGCAAACTAAATAATGAAGCATTTGTGAAAGAGCGAAGTAAAGAATAGAATCGGTATTTCGCAACTTCAATCAGCTATTAGAATAAAGATGAGGACGTCGCTTGCTTTGTATTATACAAGGAGTGATTGTGGCTCACTGTAAATTCATCAAGTAATCAGGTTAGATTGGATTAATTTACTTATCGCTGCAAAGATTTCCAGCTTCATTAGATACTGATTTTCTACTCGTGAATTGTACAGTCCACATCTAATGAATTATGTGAATATTTCGCTTTTAATAGTAAATGAGGTTTATTATTATAAGTTATCCATCGTATAAATGTTGCTTTAATTCTATTTTTTTTTTTTTATTTCATGGCATTTTTAATGCTACGACTTTTAAGACAGGCTTGTAAAACAGACAGATATAAATAAGTCTTCTTTGTCTAATATTTTACTGACATCAAAGTACATAATCAAGAATTTTTACTACTTTGTACGAAGTAAAAGTATACTGTATTTGGGCGATTTTTTTTCCTTGCGTGATGTAACGGACATAAAGTGAATTCAAATGGGACTTTTTCGAGACGTACGTCTGTGCGTGCGTACGTATACATGCATCTATCTCCGCATAACTCAAAAACGATTAACCGTAGGACGTTAAAATTTTGTATATAGGACTCTTCGGCAGAACCAAACGTTTACGTTTGGTACATAAACAGTGGGATTTGTTGTTTGGTACATAACAATGGGAATAATCTAAACACGCCCATACGCGGCTTAAAATTCCTTACCCGGCCTTTATTTTCGCAAGTGTTTGTCGTAGTCATATATTTCCAACTACAGAAGTGTTTTAAATAATCAAATTATTCCTGTTTTGCAATGTTTAATTTTAAATAAAAGACATTTAATTTTAGGCAAATTACGAAATCTAACTTTTAATGCGGTTTCTCGTTTCCTATAGATATATTTAGGAAAGTTTTATACTATTTATGAAAAACTGAAATCAGAAGAAGTTTGACTCCGGTACAACAAAAGCTGATCGGGATATTTAATTTCAAAATTTGCAAGTTTGGGTGTCATTTTTCACTTGCCTCGAGAATGCCGTTAATTAGGTTTAATAGGCTTTACATGGAAGTCATGTGGTAACTACATCTGATTTTGTTTGTAGTAGTTTAAACGAATAAACTAATTAACGTTAATATATTGACATAATGAATTATCATCGTCTCCTTCATAATTTTGGTCAACGGAAATAATACTGAAGAGAAGAAAGTCTAAAGATTTTAATAAACACTATTTCTCGAGATTTCCCTTTCATATTAAAAAGTGAAATAAATAATAGAGGTGGAATTTTATTATTAAATTGCCCATTGTGTCATTCCTAAAAATTATGCATCATACAGGATTATTCATAATTCTATAGAACATTTTAAAATTCTAAACCAAGCAACTGATACCAAACTTTTAGACTGAAATGGAGGTAAACGCATTAAAAGTGTTTATACATATATTTAACAAATATGCAAATGTGCCCCCTTTATTTCCGTAGGACATATATCTGTGCGCCATTAGGAAAATTTACTTAAATATACTAGAAGGCTTTTGATGCCACAGTTTAAGAAAAATAGCGATCATTACATCTTTCAAAAAAGCAAATGTCTGGCTCATTACCACAGAAATCAGTAGCGAGAATAGCTCAAACAAAATTTGTCACAAAGTCCATAGGACGCAGAGGATGAGGAAATGACGCATTAATGAGATTATCAGTCCGGTCTTTGGTTTAAATCCCATAACCTTTTCTTCAGACATTTGTCAATAAAACTGCCTTTCCACCATTTGCTCGTAGATATGCAGCAGCATCTCATCCATACCACCGATATTCACAGATATGCAATACCATTGCAACTCATACGCCTCGATACTATATTGCTACTCGTGGGCCGCTGGTAGATCTCTGCCATATTAACAAAGATGGACGTATTATGTAAAATATTGAGAAAACCAATGAGAACAGAGGTAAGAGGTAGAATGACCTTGTTTGTTAACACTAGCTTTACGTAAGTCAAGTGATCTCTGAGGTCATCGGGATGTATCTCATTAAGGAAGTTTCCCACTATATTTCAACATAATGAAATGTAGTATCAGTTGCATAAAAATTTAAACAATAAAATGGGTTTAGCTTCTAATGCTGTTTTAATTTCATGAAATTTCAAACCCCAATTATTATCAAAACTAAAATATTCAAATCATTCACGAATGCAGGGAAAACAGATTATTGTTGTGAGATACGAAAATCGAATCTAATGTTTAACAAATGAGACAGAAATGAGCAGATAATTCTGTATCCATAATAGCATTCAAAGATAAACTCTTGCATACGAATAAATTCAACAAAATATACTTTATTTATATTTTTGGCAGCAAACTAATACGCGATATGCTTGAATTCTTGTTGCTATAACTTCTGTAAACAAAATAACACATTAATTACAATTTAAGAATGAAAATTCGAAATGTGCAGTACGTTGAGCCATCAACGATTATAACAGCTTATCGATTTTCCCTTAACAATAATTAAATGTCACAGATATTTTAGCGTTCGGAAGACCAATAAGCTAGTACGTTAAGTCTGCTTTTTTTATTTACACAGTAGTTTCAGTGTGTAAGAATGCGTAGATTTCCAGATACTATCTTGTTTTCGAGAATGGCACCATTTGGGATGTCAATCCTATCTCCATGATTGGCAATGATAATCACAGTACCCTAGGAAAAAAATAACATTAGACACAATATATAACTATGTCCTTTAATTGATACAGCGTAGCAAAATGACACAAAACTTACTTTGCAGTGTGTCATCTAGATCGAACCTGTTCATAAATCATATCTTGCTGAACAATATTTGAGCATATAAAGCGTCTACATTAATTCAGTCTTTAATTAATTATTTTATTAATTTAATTATTTTATTAATTATTTAATTTTATTAAGCAAGTCTTAAAACTGTTATGTAACTATGAGCCATATCATTCATTCCTAGACGACTAGGAAAGTGGATATAGAAGAACGAAATACAATCGATCTTCAGTTGCAGCGTGAAATTATCTATTTTATGCTCCACGAAAGATTGGCAGCAAAATACACTCATCGAAAATGCACAATGTATAAAGCAAATTCAACACAAAGGACTGGTTACACCATTCCAAGAGAGCCGTGATCCCAGAAGTAGATATAAAACTTTGAACAGGATTCAAAACGTAAACGGAACTCTCGTGCATTGAAGATCTTGGTGAATAAGGCTTTTTTGGCTCACACTTAAGCTCGCCTGTTTACCATAATGTTCTAGGCAATGAACTGCACATGCAAAACGGGTTCCACACAGAGCGAGTCCTCAGCAAAGGGCGGTACATGTGTGGCAACTTCATAAGCAACAAAGAAGTCTTCTGGAACATGCATTCAACATTGATGAACCATAGATAAGATTATACCAACCATTTAAAAGCAAGAAAATAGTGAATCGAACCAAAGAGAAACGGCCAACAATGTCATTTCCGACAGGCTCGGACCAAAATTCATGCTTATGTTTGCCATAGACTACGAAGGCATAATATAAATGTTTGAAGACCATATATGAATTTCGTCCCCAGCTTGTGCAGATATACATAGTTAAGTGGCGTTAAAAACTGAAACATACCGTGTGACTATAAAGTATGGGCATAAATCCAGACCTCATCGACATAAGGCTAAGGATCTAGCATGGAGTGGCATGGCCTAGCCACCATAATGTCCGGGTTTAAACTCGTGTGATTATGAGTTTCATAAAAGGGCGATTGGTGGCATACCATATTCGATACCAATGGATTCCGTGTGGTCTTGGATAAAAAATTCGGAATGTGTAGAGAAACCAGGGTATCTAGCTGCTTGAAAACTGCTTAATTGATAATGACGAAAAATACAATAAATACACAATATCCGTTCAATACTTTTATTGCTAATATACTAAGCATGCCAACAAGTTTAATCTAGATGATCAAATACATTGCAAATCTACTTAATACATACCATAATATATACAGTTGTCTTGAAGGAGAAGTAGTATTCATAATTAAGAGCTTAAATCATAAGAGTTCAATGTTTTTCTGAGAAAACAGACTATTTAAATGAAAATCTTCACTGACCTAAGTATCGGCTATAAACTGTTTTCATTTAATAATATTTGCTAAAGAGAGTAAGTACATTTAATATTATTTGCTAAAAATAATAGCATAGGATTTCACACTTTGAAAGTGAATGGCTAGACCTTACTCACGATCGATGCAAATTTTATCTTTACAGGAAACACAGAGAAATGTCAGGATCTATTACAAAATTTCTGGCATGCGTCAGTTAAATATCTTGACAGGACCTCGATCATATAAGCAGCGCTTATGTTAAACTTTTTGGTAATGTAAAACAATCATTACTGTAAATTCTTCAGTAAGGCTTTTTCTTAAAACAAAATATTAAACAGAATATCATGCTAGTCATTTTATTATGCTTATTATAATATTAAACATTAATCGACTAACTTACATTCTTGTAAAGCACAGCTGTCAAGGGCTATGCAATATACGTAGCTCAAACGTCTAATTGGGTCTTTTGTTGTTAATCACTCAAATTGTGAATATACCCTCAAGGGCTGATCTACAAAGTGAGAACCTAAAGTACCTATAAGCTAAAACTTAATCATCATTGTTTATAAATTACATGCAATAAATTTATTCTAGCGCTGCACGTAATTTTAAAGTACATACGCAAGATAAAAAGAAAGCAAAGAGAAAACACTCATTTTAATTTGAAATAGTCCTTTTAACCTAATTTTTTATTTGGTTATTTCTCCTTTTTATCTTAAAAATAGAAAGTAGCGTGCTTATAATAAATTTCTCTGAACTATACAATTTCAAACTCAGTTCTCTCATGCGATTCTTGTATAACACTCATAAGACGTGTACTTACCTAATACTTCAACCAATAATGTATTAAAACTTGCAAGCCAAAATCCTAAATAACCAGTTAGTATAAAAGAAAACTATAAGTACATTGTATTCAGCCAAACTCTAACACAGCAACCTGGGCATTCTTCTCCCTCTGGCTACTTTGCTAACATATTGCCCTCTTACTTTCTTATATCAAGTTTCTTGCCATAAAAACGTAAAAAAGGACAAATGTCACTGAACGAGAAAGGATGTCCAAAAAGTGTCAACTGAGTTATTTATTTTATCTCATGTTCAAGATGCATTTTTAAGCAACAAAGGAAGGGTTCTAACCGGCCAAAATGATTGCAACTATATCTTTATGCACAAACTTCGTCATCATGTATCTACGTCGCTGCAACATAATATTTTGTTACATATATCTACGTCGCTGCAACATGTATCTACGTCGCTGCAACATAATATTTTGTTACATATATATATATATCGGCTCATTCTTTGACATGTATTCCCAGGTTTAATAGACTGCTTAGAAATTGACAGAATCTTTGGAATTGCTGAAATGTTACCTCTAATCTTGATGGTGGCTGCAGCTGGATTAATCATTATTTTTGTAATGAATGTTGAAGCTCTGCCTCATGTAATAAACACATTGTACGTATGTGAGCAATGTTTCATAATTCTAAAGTAAAATCATAGATTTGTGTCAAAAATGGTTAAAAGTGACGCATTTCCAAATCACCTTAACCAAAAAGTATCTTGAGTGAGCAAATCATCAGCTTTTTTCTTTTCTTTCTCTTCTTTTTATCTTTCAAAGGAATTATATCGCAAAGATCTGGGCTATCCACAAATTTTTATCTATAGGTTCTCAAGACCTTGAGAGAGAGCATGCTCGTTCGTCGTAAAATTACAAATATTTGGTCTCTTCACCACAACAGTATATCAAATCGCGCATCATTCATTAGCTGAGAAAAATATCATGGCTTAAAAAATGTCTCAACGCTTTTTCAGCCATCGTTTAGATCTAATTTGGCTCCCTGAAACTTCTGTACATTATCCAAGCTCGAAACCTAATTCATGGGACATTAGTTTAGGACAACTGAAAATGTACACGCAGCTGTGATATGATTTTTGAATAGCATCTCAAGTGAAGAGTTCCTCAACCGCTATGAAGCATTAATTTTTAAAAAAATTATTATATTTGATCACAAGGACCTGTTTCGAAGATAATAAATTACAATGGCAAGTATATTCGATATTTGTTTTTGAATCATTCTTTTGAAATTAGATCGAACACAATCGAAGTTCGATAAGACGAAATTTAAGGGAGCAGAAAATTATTTCAAATAATTACACGGTCAATTTATCAACGAAAGTTACCTTTAATTCCGAATTCTCATTTCGATATTCAATTGGATTTATTGATAAGTTTGATTATAATCAAAGTTCTACTATGTTGTTTCCTGAAATATTAACTAGTACTGCCTTTAACTTGTGTAAAAGAATAAATATATGCATATTATAATTTATGCATATTAATATAATAGAACGTTTTAAACATTTATTCTTCTGAAGGACCTCATTCAGTATTACAATAGCACTGTCATCAACTGTAGGCACAGCGACTGTGTAGTTATATTATTAACTGATGGCTTTAAGGAAGGTACTGTAATAGATTATTATTGTGTGATGAATAAAAATATGACCACTGTAGATGAACAATATTACTGCATATTATCAACTATTTCTATCAGGTACAGTTGGTCCTACAAAGATTATCTATCATGCATGCCAAATCATATTTTCTCACAGCCCTCGTTTTCTTTCATTTCTTCCATTTAGCTATTATGCATGCCAAATCATATGTTTTCTCACAGTCCTCGTTTTCTTACATTTCTTCCATTTAGCCATCATGCATGCCAAATCACTTTTCTCACAGCCCTCATTTTATTTCATTTCTTCCATTAGCAGATATTTTTCCGTACTTCCAGCTTAGTAACTATTGCAAGGGCACGGAACAAAAGACCACTTGTTAAATATGAAAAGAAATAACTTATTGCGTTTCCAGTCACTTTCAGACTACATGTATTAAGTCTGAAAACTTTGCAGTTGCCCTTCCAATTCCATAGTTTTCCAGTGCACACTTAAGGTGATCAAGAAGGTAGTTACCAATCCGCGGGGCAATAAAAAGGTACTAAGAAATAAGTGTGCAAGAAGACAACGCCTGGAAAATTTGCATTTTACGTGTTTCTGAAATTATTATACAAATATTGCAACCCCGCAACTTTACAAAGATCAAACCAAAATATGCTACAATCAGCCTTTCATTCTAGTTGAACCCTATCAGTCTAATATATCTAAAAAATGTGACCACGTTATATGCATTAATATCCAAGAGGCCCAAGTAACATCTTTCTTCAATATATACAACTGCGCGTGTTGCAGCAGGAATCTCCGAGTTCATTATTATCAATGTCTTGAGAAATCTTCAGTTGTTTCCATTCTGCTTCGGTATGGCATGTTGAGTTTTAATCAATAATTTAATGGGATGCAAATACAATAAATACTTAAAACTTTTTATGCGTTTTCAATCAGTGTCTACAGATTACTTTTTAAATGATATCTGATATACCATTGTAACGCTAGCGAGACACTGAACAAACTCGAAGGGGACGCTGAGGAAATAAAACTCGAAAAGGAGACAGCTGTTCAAAAATGGTTGGAAAACTGTGCCATATCAAGAAGTGAACAGGCCTGGTCGCAGTTGAAGGTACTTCTCTTTTCTTACCCACGTAAACAAAGATTGTTACAACTTAAGAGTTATTTCCATGTTACGAGCTATTTCTTCTCAAAAGCTGAGTGTTTTCACTGTTAACTTATCTACATACTAATTAAGTTACAATAACACGTCGAACAAGTATTAGTTTAGAAGTCAAACAACAAAAATCAGAATTTTATTTTCAAACATTCACAGGACTAGTTTCGATGGTATTACCGAACCATCATAGTCAGCTACAAAAGCGCTTTTGTAGTCTTGTGAAACTAGTCCTGTGAAAATTTGAAAATAAAATGCTGATTTTTGTTGTTTGACTTCTAAATTATCTACATACTGTTATTAATCTTTTCTCTTTTGTAACTCTAAACTGGGTTGATGGCTTACTTTCAAAGAAACTCCTCTCCCAAAAGTGACATCACCAGAAACAGTAAGATGATCCAGTTCAAGCATGTCTGGAATGGTGTCAAACCTGGATAGAAAGTCTCGAACCTGGAAAATAAGAAACAGATTTTGTATAATTCTTTAATTTTCTTTTGAGTGACAACATCAAAATGGATCTTTACAGCCTGATAGAGTTTTCTTCGATTCTATAGGTAATATGAATTTCTTTTATAGCTCACCAACTCATTTACAACACCAACAAAGCACAGCTTGTTTTGCATTTTATAGAAGAGAAACTAATTGGAGACGCGTATCACACATTTTAATCACATAGATTCAAACAGTCTTTTCCAGTTGACTAAAAGGAACAGCTTATTTATTTCACTTCCTGTACAAAATTAATTAAAAAGCATATGGGAAAGATGGGAATTTTTAAGATAACAGCTATTGCCGACATAAAAGATCTAAATATCGAGTTTGTTGTGTTACAATGAAAATCTCACTCTTTTCATAAGGCAAGTATATCAAACTAAAGTTTAAATTTGCATTAAAAGTATTATATTTTGAAGCGTTTCAATAGCTTGAAATTCAAATTTTCTATCATTAATTCTAATTACTTTCAAAAGCAATGACATGGAAACAGAAATTTTAAAACAGCATCTTGTTCTGACCATTTTCGGAAGACAAGAAGCATCACAAGAAATAACATGGCAATCTGAAAATGGTTGCAAAAAAATAACTAGAACTTTTCATTAATCGAGACGATATGATGCAATTAAAAATCCAGATAATTTTTAATGAAAGTTAAACTACAAGTATATTCTTCGAGTGCATTATTTTAAAACATGCGTTTTTAAGGTTTATCGTTGAGCAATATTTATAATCGTATATAATAACTTCTTATCGTATATAATAATCGTATATAATAACTTCGTATATAATATCGTATATAATAACTTCTTATCGTTATAATAATCGTATATAATATTTATAATCGTATTAATATTTATAATCGTAATATAATAATTTCTTTGGGAAACAATATTCTATTTAATTTTTTTTTGCCTGTATTCTGTTGAATTTATTTTGAATTTTTATTTCATTTACCTTCTACAGGAAATGTGTACAACGTACAGAATTCGGGGAGTATTCGACAGGAAATGCTTACCTTTAGGAAATGCAAGTCTCCCAGTTTAACGAGGGGAGTCGACGGAAAAGCCCTCAAGGGACTCATAGCCAAGCTTCCGTTTCTCATATTGTAGAGATTGCTCATCACCAATAGCAAGTCAGATGTTTTCTTCACAGGTAAAAATCGACTTCGAGGAACATTGATACCTGGAAAAAAGGTCAGAATAACAATGAATCTGTTAGTTTCAGTTTTGATATAATACACCAGTTAATAATATCACATTTACTACTACGTTTCTAGATACTGCAGTTGCTTCCAGTTTCGATTACAGTACACTTAGGATATTACACTTATGACTGGAATTACAGTTGAAGTTTCATTATATTTCAGTTAATATTATAATTATTACAGCAATTATAAATACTACTGTTAGAATCAGATTTACTAAATTTCCTGATATTACAGATTCTACCAGAGTTACAGATACTACAGATGGTTTCATTTTCGATCATATTGCAGTTAATGTTTCAGTTACTATTACAAGAGATATCAGTTTCGATTACACTACAGTAAATGATCCTTAGTTGGTTATTTGAATATGACAAAGCAGAAGAGATTCTCATAGATTCCAGAATTTAAATGCCACAAGTGTCAATGGTGATGCTGGACTAACACTATCCTAATTTGAATCGAGCCCTCCAAGCGTTAAAGATTTAGCCCTGAAATTTTAAAAGTTCTCCAAAATGTCATGAATATGTGGTATTTTCCTACTTATACTTCCAAAATGATTCTTTCACTTTGTACCTTGATTCCAATATCCATCCCAACCGAAATCGGATAGATGAGGAACTGGCAGAAACGTTCACGTGTATTTCTTCTATGTGAAGTTTCACGTCCATAAAGTTCCAAGCAATCCATAAAACAGTCTCTGAGAATCACATACTCTTTTTATCTGCTATGACCAACCTCTCTAAAATACAATAACAAAGAATGTCGCTTGTTCCTTCCCATATGGCTAAATCAGGTAAGATACCTCAAATGGTCGAATGTTCTTCCATATTTATATTCCTGCTTAATATATATTTTATGTTTTTAAAATCTTTTCGCGTTAAATTAAAAGAAACTGCATCTGAAACTTGACTTCTGTTACCCTTAGTAACAAGTACCTCGAACTTCTCTATCATTTTATTCTTTTTAATTTTATTATCTAACATCAATTTTTGCCACAAAGCCATTTGTCGTATAACTCATGTATACGCTTCTCATTTCATATTACTTACCAGAGGTCACGGCTTCCTCTACCGTCCTCGGTATCTTTATGCATCGTCTCTCCCGCCCTCGAGCGTCCTCTCAAATGGTGCGCTTCTCGGCCAAGGGGATACGAGACCTTAGGTCGACGGAGTTTGACGTCCGATACGACCAAGTAGGAGCAAGCTCCTTCGGCAAGTCTCATCCGACCCTCAGACAGGCGAGGTCCCGGGTATCACCCGAGACCGCAATGCGCGTTCGAAAAATCAGTGCTCAATGTGTCCTGCAATTCACACCAAGTCTCGCAGCTGGCTGCGTTCTTCATCGACCCGTGAGCCGAGTGATCCACTGCTCAGAGTTGTCATCTTTATTATATGGATCCCCGAGGGGTTCCATTTGCGTTCAAAAGTCTTATGAAAGAAATACCTCCCCTTGCGGGGAAGCACGGAGAAGCGTTCAATTCACGGAAAGTGACCCCACCAGAAGTCGACCGAAGTCGCGAGCTCTCCGTCGCTCTTCCTTCAGAGGGCCCCACCGGGATATCGTACCCGCGAGGCGGTCCACCAACTGTGGCGGTACTCATTAAACCTAGCATCGGACCCGAAAGTCCAACACCTCCCTCTTGTCGTCAATCTGCGACCGGGAAATTATACTAGGCACCTCGATGTGGGTACGAGACCACTTGGGATTTCAAAAAATTAAAGTTAAATGTTCAAAATTGCAAAGCAAAATTAAATTAAAAATCGAAATTGAATGAATGCAACCATTTGTCCATGCCGATTTGGAAGGGAAGTTTTGAGATATTCCTCAAATGATATTATGTAGAATTTTGCATTCATTCAAAACAGCACAGCTAAAAGTTGGTGTATGGCTTGCTGTACTACTATTTCATCATAAACTATTGCTGTACGGAGGTTTATGCACTTATTTAATAAAGAAGAGGCTCAATTATTCAAAACCTAATTTTGCACTTATTTCACTGTATCGCTTACACTACATTTCTACCTCAGTTCAATAACGTTTATTCTACTACAGCAGAAAATCCAGAAACCTCACACAATAAACACCTCAAAAAGTTTCCTTTGAAGTATTGAAAAAATCTAACACTAGTCAGAGAAATTTCTGTACATTGCTTGTTCAAATTTAGCATTCATTTAATTACTTTTCTGCAAAAGAAATCAATTTTATTTTTCAATATATTTTATTGTTGACATTTGCTTATTTACTAGTTTAGCTAGTCCTCAAAGCCCGTTTTGTAACAAAACGAACGCATGCATTAAAAGTAAAATAATATTAGTTTGTAAGGTTTACCTTAATTTATCTAACAGTTAATTTTGAGTTAAAGTTGCTTTCCTGTCTTTTCTTAATTTCAGCTTACAACTTCCGGCCAGAACGTATCTTCAGAATCGCAGTCAAATACAAGTTAGAAGAAGTATTTAACTGTGAAGTACTACTGACTTCGTTAGAGAGCTAAATATTCTACGCAGCGTGCGTTAGCCTTTTGGCTACACTCTCTCTACAGCTATTTTTACAATCCGCCGTACTTTAGGCCCTTGACAGCTTCGCCATTAGCGTTAAGGGGGCCAACTCTGTTAAAATCTTGATAGCATCGGCTATATCTTTTTAGTTAAGATTAGTTAAGTTTTATTTCTTAGTTTCCCGGGTTCATGCCCGAGTGGAGGCTTTATTGTAAACTCCAAGAAGGAGTCTTCTGTGAAATTTATTTGGAATAATAAAGGGTATTTCACCCTTCTCAAGTTCTGTTCTCTGTCTACTGAACTAAAGCGATTATTAGCTTACCTGTCCTTAAGGTTTCTCAACTTTAGCTGTAAATTAAAAGACAGGAATCTTACAAGTTCATCAACCTATGGTAGACATGTAACCACGGAGCCTTAGCGATGTTATGTAATTTCTAAAATTCTTAAAATTCATAGTCGCGTTACCAAGGTCTATATATGAATTAACTAAAGCACTTGGATAATTGGTTCGGACTATGTTAAGATTAATGATCTGTTTCATAAAACTGAACACTTTCTCATTTCTTTTTACATCGATACTAAAATCTCCCATAATAATCATTGATATATCCTTATCGATACCCGCAACAAAGATAAAAATACACTTCGTTGCACAATATATACAGGAGTTGGACAAAAATATGGAAACACCTTTAAAAAAACATGTTTCTTTGCTTAATATGGTGTAGGAAACCCGTTGGCATCCAAAACAGCTTGCAGTCTTCTCGGAATGAATAAATACAGTTCCTGTATGTTTGCCAAGGGAATATTATACCATTCTTCCTGCAAAACGGTGGCAAGTTCAGATAACGATGTTGGCGGTGGATAACGAGAACGCACTTTCCGTTCCAATGTAGACCACAAAGGTTCGATAATTCAGGTCTGGTGACTGTGGTGGCCAGGGGAGATGGGACAACTCATCCTCGTGCTCAGAAAACCAGTCCTGGACAATGTGAGCTGTGTGAACAGGGGCTTTGTCGTCTTGGAAGACACCATCACCATCGGGGAACAAAGTTTGTACCATGGGATGAACTTGTTCGGTCAAAATGTTCACATAAGTCTTGGCAGTCATGTGCCCTGACACAGTTATCATGGGGCTAGCAGAGAACCACGATATGGCTGCCCAAACCATAACAGAACCCCGCTCTTGGCAACAAGTAGTCTGTATTATAGGCTTGAGATGGCGTTCTCCAGACGTAAACTCGGCCAGAAGTGGGAAACATTGTGAAAGAAGACTCGTCATACCATATTACTCGCTTCCACTGCTCTATAGTCCAGGCCTTTATGACTTAAACATCACCTTTTCCTGTTACGGGCATTAGCATCACTGATGAGTGGCTTCTCAATTGCAGCACGGCCAGCAATTCCCTGTTTATGAAGCTCCCTTCTAATTGTTTTGGTACTCACAGGGTTCGGTAACACAACATTCATTTCAGCAGTAACTTTTGCAGCTGTGGTCTTCTTATTTTTCGTCACAATTGTCCTTAATGATCGTCTGTCACGATCACTCAGGACACACTTTCGTCCGGGCTGTGATTTAGCAGATGATGTTTTTCCGCTTTTCAAATATGCGGAATAAGTCTTCGATACAGTACCTCTTGAAACACTAAACACCTCGGCTACCTTGCTTACGGAAGCACCTACCATACGTGCTCCAACAATTTTCCCACGTTCGAAGTCTGTTAACTCTGACATAATGCAATGACAACCTCACATAACAGTACTCCGACAACAACTGAACTGTTTAGCACATTTACGAAGTTATATAGGTGGCGTCAGTAGTCAAAAACGCCAGCGCCACCTACATATTTCATTAAAATCAATCTTTCTTTTCAAACATACATTTCACAAGGTGTTTCCATATTTTTGTCCATCCACTGTATATATGCACCCACAAAGAATTGAGCCACAGCGACGAAACTGAGCAGTAGTACAGTTCTTTATATTAGTTACTAGTATGTAAGTATATTTTTCTTGATATCTTCTGCAGGTGATTCGCCAGAACCTGCCAACAGATTATTAACTAAGAAGAAATATCTACAGAAGAATATGTTCGTACTTCATTGTTTAATCGACCATCGCTCAAGTGTTGGCAACATTTGAAACTTGCATGTTACAGACTGGGTGATTAAGCTTGCCAATTTTGAAGACCAAGTGCGGTGGCCGCTTTAGTAAGGAAGTACTGAATTATTTTAATTGGAGATGGGATAAAGTTTCTCGAATCCAAATCCTAAAAGATTCTCGTATATCTCGAGTCGTGAATTCTGCTTATGAGAATCATAATAAGAAAGGGAGAGAAAGAACTAACTAACATTTAAATGCTTTAATTCAACAAAATTGGAAATCTGCGTCTAATGATAAATTTAGAATGCACTTAAAAATTTGTTTTTGAAAATGCATTTATACTTATTAAAAATTGTAAAATACTACAACGGTGTGGTTCTTTGTTTTTAATAAAGGCTTTTACTAGACTCGATAACAGTATTCTTTCCAAACATTTTAAATTAAAATGGTAAATGGTTTTTCTTGTTAGGATTCGCAAGATTTGGATAACAAAACAACACCCGGAGACTGGAGGTTTCAAATCCCGAATCTTTTTCAAGATGCGATGGATTCGAGAACTTGAATATCCCACCTTTAGCTTTTGCCTTGGAGGTACATAAATATTACTGACCCACTGCACCGTCAAAGTCCTTCATGGCGGCTCCGGCGGCTGTTTCTAATTGTATGACATTCATACCATTGTCTAAATGCTAAAAAGAAAAAGGAAAAAATTAGTTATAAAAATCAATAATACTTACCCCGATTTTAAAGCATACTTTATTTATATGAAAAAGGAGTGAGTAAACATCCAATTACAAAAATATACGCATAAACATTTTGGCAAAAATGTTCTTTATGATCACTTCGCTAAATAACTGTCTGTAAAAGCAAGCATATTCGCTTTCAAGTGCTCTTTACAAACGCTACACTGTAAGGCGGCATTAAGCAAATAGATACAATTGACTCCATGTTAGTAAATTTGGATATTTGATAAATTTACATATGGAAGCAAACGAAACTTTTAAATAAATAAGTGGTATTTGATGCAAATGATTAGCATTTTATGGCATGTGCATATTACAGGTAAAACCAAAATAGTGCAAAAACACGAACTGAATTGCCTATTTTCCATTTGGAAACCGTGTTTACTTTTTGTTGTTGTTCTTGCTGCTGTTGAAAGTCGTGTTATGCATCATGCAAAGAAGGAAAAATTAATCAGTTTATCGCAGGATAACCATAGGATAACCACGACTGCCAGTGACTGTACCATGAAATTTCTGCTCGTAGGATTGAAATCCATTAACTATTATCAGAATTTACTCTTTATGCATCCAGAAAAGTCACCCAGAGTGTCTTGGGTGATGTCAACAACCTCCCCTTACCAATGTCCGAGATGATTGTTTTCTTGCCTGCATCTTTGTTAAAATATCATGCAGCGACCTGACATACGCCGTGTCACGACACTGGATGTGTTGCACAGCATCAAGCGCGATGGCATCTGAAATTTATTTTAGAAGGCGACAATTACTTTTTTTTTTTTTTTTTTTTTTTTTTTTTTTTTTTTTGTTTGTTTGTTTGTTTGTTTGTTCTATACCACTGTTCCTATAATAATGAGTTCAACTACACAAACGGATATGCGATAATGGTATGAAATTATCTTTTCTGATAAGTCCACTTTTGCTTGCGTCCTGATGGCTGTATCCGTATGTAGAAGTATCGAGAGGAGAGAAACTGAAAGATAGCATTCTTCATGTTTATACCAGCCCAGCACCTACACTGATGGTATGGAATACCACTAGCCATTGAGTACAAGCCCTTTAAGTTTTAGTTTGCATATCCGATTCTTTGATTCAGCCACCGTTACATTAATGAGGTTTTCATGCCCAGGCAGTTATCCATCTTCGAGCCTACGTCGCCCTATCTTTTAAGAGAAAAATGCGAAATCACACGTTGCCCAGATCTCCTTACATTTCCTCGGTACACAGGATAGACTCCTGCGTCGACCACGGCGTTCTTAGGTTTGTCAGTAGCTCAAAATAGCTGACCGACGGTTGCAGAGAAATTGGCACAACGACACTTGCCAGCCAAAGATAACTTATTTTAAACATATTCTTTAAACTATATGAATTCAAATTATGCCATTCAAATGATTGAGAGACAAGTGTATTTAAATATGAGACTGAAATCAGTTTTAAAGAAAAGAGAGAATTTTTTTGCTGTATCATACTTCAAGTATCGTGTTAAAATATCGGACAGAGTTTAAGATTAAAAATAAAATAGAGGCAGCTGACCAACAAGAGAATATTAAAAGGTAAGTGACACTATCTAGAATATACGTTTATATCGGACTGACGAGCTATATAATATGCTCCAGAGCCAGAAAACTTAAAAATTCAGTTCGGCCCTAAAAGAGATTTGAACCACATATCTTTCAGTTACTAGTTAGATGTGTTCTTACCACTTCGAACACGACAGCACACACGAAATTATACGACATTTCTTTGCATTGTTCCCCTCTTTGAAAGCATTTGGAGGGAGGCACAAATCTCATTCGTCGAAATTCAAGCTGTGAGGAATATATTAAGTTTTCCATACGAGGAATCTAAATGTTCATCTCTAAGGATCACTTTTGTCAAGATCAAAATTACATACTGATCTTAAAAATATCCATGATAACCACTTACATCACATGGTTAGGTTTATTGATTAATGAAAAGCAACTCTGCAACTTTCTACCTGTGGATGAGATAACTTCGTGGAGGACTTTTTAAGAGAAACTGTCTCATAATTCACGTTACAGATGAGTTACAAAACTCTCAAGCAGCCAGTCCGTTAACCAGAATTCGAGGCCACTACACCAAAAAAGCTCTCATGAAAGATTATAATGTTTCTTGTAATTTACCTTGACACAGTAAGTTACAAAAGCTTTCAGACACAATAAGTTACTTTTCACAAAATTTGAAAAGAATGGTGAATACGACAAATATTTCTGTTAAAAGAAGAAAAATACCACATAAAAGTGGGGAAATCAAGAACAATGAAATAATTGTTAGCAAAGAGGAAATAAAACCACCTAAAGGTTAAACTTCGAAGGAAATAAGAGAACTTTTAAAAAATCTAGCATCAAGTGGAAAAAATACTCTTGCAATAAAACTAGAAAGAAAACAGTATGTTCGTTGAACAGATACACCACCTGATGTGTAGTAAATCCTAAAAGATATTCGGTAAGCTTCCACTAAGAAATTCGGTAAGCTTAAGGAGGAGACGATAAGCTTCTTGGAGAAATAGTCACACACTGAAACATTTACTTATGCTTGACGCTTAAATATTTGCCAGACTTTGTGTCTTGAGGATTGGAAATTTCTGAAGACTCAAAAGTTTTGGACCTGCTGCCATCAGCTATCGAACCCAAATATATAAAAAAATAAAAGAAATGTCCATTTCTTTAGTTTTAAATTTGAAAACTTTAGAAACTGAAATCGAATTTTCGAAGAAAATTCGGTACTATTCGGTTTTGAGGGCCGTAAAAAATCGCCAAACTATTGTTGATGCCAATGCTGCCAAAAATAATTGCGGCAATCCTAACGCAAGAAAGAAAGTATAATAGTAAATAGCTATTTAAGATTGATGTTTTGATTTAGATGAAAAGTTATTTTCATATAGTACATTTTATTATTATAATTAATATAAAAAAGGCTAAACATGAATGAATGGAAGCATAAAAGTAAATAACTGTTTCAGATTATTATTTTAATTTAGATAAAAAGGTGAATTTCACATCATACAATTTTTATTATTATTATTATTTATATAAAAAAGGCTAAAATAACTGAATGGAAACATACTCATTACAGGTTTCTTTCCTGCACCGCCATTTTGCTACCGAGTTATCGCTAAAGCATAATTTCATCTCATGATTGTTCAAACATAATTTTCTATCATGAATGATGCCTTCTTTTTTTTTTTTTTTTTTTTTTTTTTTTTTTGAAAAAATTCTATTGCAGACTTTTCTTCACTCGGCAATTGCCAAACTGTAAAATCCAAAACTTTATCAAAAAGAGAATTAAAAAATTAAACTAGTATTTCAATGGCGACTTACAAATATAGAACTATCTAAAACTTACGCAATTTGAAATCAGCGCGTTCGCGAGATTTGGTGTGTTGTTTAATGGGTGAGTTTGCTAGATTTGGCGCTTTTGCGCATGCATTTTCGCTGGAATTTTTTACGGTCCCCGAAACTGAATTGTACCGAAAAGGTATTATACAACAAACATTCATCCACATTTTCGTACCTGAGATTGAATAAAATTAAAATAACTGCCATGCAGCTTAAAATTAAAAATACGTCCAATGCATGCGATATTCATACAGCAATATAGACAGAAAATATAATTTTTATTTGCACTTTACGTTTTCGCAGGTACATACGTATTAAAGCAACCACTTTGTTGCAATTTATTTGCATCTGCACTTTATGCTTTTCTTTATGCTTCCAAATTATGTATTCATTTTGTTAATTTCAATAAACGACTGGGGTAACGTAGTGGGGAGACGGCGCTAAACAAATTAACCAAATGGTAAAGGTGTGGTGCCCATCTTCCCCGTTCCTAATCCTAGTAAGAGATGGACTTAAATAGCGCCACAGCTAAACGCAGTAATCAATCGTATTCCTTATTTATGTTAGCCATATATATATCATGTCATGAATTTCACTTTTTAATTTATTTTGTTACTTTAGTATCATGTAATATAATACATTTCTTTTTAACTTTTTTTATTACTTGTATATTATATCATGTACAAGGTGTTTAAAAAATATATGGAAAAAAATGTAAAAGCAGATAGAGGGAAATGAAATAAGTAGATTTTTGTAATGGAATCTCTATGCAGAAATGGTGCGTTGAGAAGGTACTGCTGTGCGATATGTAAAAGCGTTCTTCTGGCGTAAATCATCATTCTCAAAAGCGGATTTCGAGTGGCTTACATCACTACAAGAATGCGGAGCTTGTCGACATGCATTTTGTTTATGGCACTGTGAAAAACAATGAAGCAGCCGCTCAGTAAAGGCACTCAGGAATCATTCTCTGTACCTCCTATAAGTAGCTCCTCGGTATAGATGAAATGCATGCCGGCGAGTTCAGCGTTTATGTGCCAATACAAACGCTCGAAATTCGAACGGGGAATAACAGTTTACAGCAGTAGCAGAATGCTTTTACCTACATCTCAGCAACACCTTCTACAACCTTCAGAGCGTCATTTCCGCCCACATATTACCTTACAAAATCTGCTTATATCGGTCCCTTCCACCTGCCTTCACATTTGTGCCAGATATTTTTCAATCACGCTGTATTAGTTGTATGTTTTCTACCATTAAATAATACAAGGTATACATTTTTCTCTACTGATCTTAAAGAGGTCTTTGTTAAGTATGGACTTTTTTATTAAAACAATTTCCCATGTACGCGTCGACTAAACGTGCTATCAAACGTGCTATTAAACAAACGTGTTGGCAGTTGTTAGCTAAGTGGTTAGGTTTGGTTGATTTAACACGCAAAGCACACAAGAGCTATCTGCCCAAGAGAAAGGATGCTTTCTTGGAAGATTTTCTAAGGCTCTTATTCACATTACATATGAGTTATACACGTTACATACAACCTTCAATATCTAACCATGTAGCATCTCCACAAACAAGAGGCAGACAAGACAATATGGCTCGAGTATAGTTTATTACAATGTGTACTTTAAAAATCTGTCATAACTAACGTAACATGGTGTATTAGAATATGCGTACAATATAATGACGTTTCGCATATGGAGGTATTATTATTAATTCGAAGTGTAATATCTATCTTGCTATATATATATCAGTTAGAAGTGTTCAAAAATCCAATTTTTAGAATCAATATTAATATTCATAATCTCTTACCACGTGACCACTTCAGCAAGTAAAATAACCCCTTTCTCAGCTTTATTTTTTGCAGAAAGCGAATATTTATCTTCTCAGAAGCGAAATAAATTACTGTGGCGAAAGAAAATGCATTTTATAAAAATAAATAGCCTTCATTTCCCGATTTCAAGAACAACCCTTCTCCCTCGCCATCTAAGCCACGATTAGCATACGCGTATATTCTTCCATAAAATGTGGCGTAACAAATGGCCGAATTCCAGAAAAGAACGCTATGCGTTATTTCCTTCGATAAAAATAAACGGCCGGCGGCACTTTCATTTTTTTTTATTTTTTATTCCAGATTCGAGAGAGACGGAGGGCGAATATACGTCGGAACCCAGGTGCTCTAGAGTGATAGAGAGGGGGTCCACTCTGTAAAGACAGCGCCCCCGACAGAAAAATTGATATCACGATAGCCGTCTGGATATGCATTTCAATATTCAGATGAGAAATACCAAAGTGTGGTGCTGCCATCTATTGGAAGGAAAATAAAACAGCTCCGTTTGCACGGAACGAAGGAAAATAAACGTTGGACTAAGATATATCTTAGTCCAACGTTTATTTTCGTTAGATATACCTTAGTCCAACGTTTTTCTTGCGAGAGTGGGGCTGAGTTTACGGACAAAATAATAAATTATTACTAATATATCATTTCCTTACATTTTCGTTGTATTATATATTACTGTTTTAATTAATCTTATTGTTATTGTGTTACCATACTTAATCAGACTTACTATAATAAAGAAAAAACTATAATAAATATTATACTATCATAAATTCTCTGTTAATAAATTTTTAATTAACTAATTTTGGAAAATCTACAATCGTTCTCCTAAAAATAATTCATAAGAGCTCCTGATCAAAAAGGCTGTTTAATAGTTAATCTGAAAAACTGAAGAATTTTTAAAAAGTAAAATTTTTTACAAGTAATTTAAAATTGAGCTTACTTTGGGATTGACTATTATTTCCATATTCAGCCTATGCTCTTCCACTAAACTGGCGATAGTTTTCAGTTTCATCCAAAGATTATTAGTATTGAATATTCTGAAATAAAATAAATCACAATTAATAGTTTCAAATTATTCATCCATAACTTTACGAAATAAATAATTTTTCAAATGAGTAAGGTAAATTAATTCCAGATAAAATTAAACAAATATTACTCATTGCGAAACCTTCATTGGCAAGGGATCCCTTAAACTTTAATGTATCATTTTATTAATTCAAAGAGCATTAAATAATTCATTTAAAGGCTTAAATAAATATTAATTTAGAAGTCAAACAACAAAAATCAGCGTTATGTTTTTAAATTTTCACAGAACTAGTTTCGATGGTTTTAACGAATCATCATCCTCAGCTGCAAAAGGGGAAATGAAAGCGCTTAAATAAATTTTAGGTATAATTTCACATTTTCTACTACTATTTGAAATTATGTTATTTGTTATATTTTATAGAAAGAAATAATCATTCGCTTTCTTAAATGAACTATGCGATGTTTTTCCATGTTTCGATCTCTTTCTAAATCCTGTGGGAAAACCAAGGCTTCATCTCATTTGCCAAAATTTATGGAAATTAGACAAATTTAAGGGGCGTATCAAAAAGAAGAAATCAGAATTGACTCTAATTCATATGAGAAATGTTTAAATTCATGCAGCATCATACTCCTTATCTATATTTTGTTGTAAGATACCTTTTATCTTCTTAGAATACATGCTTATCTACTCTCTTTTCGGAAAACGTGATTCAAATTCTACACAATATGTTCTCTATATTGAATTTGAAATGCATAATCTATGTTCTGTTCGGAAAATACTCTGCACAAGAACTGTTTTGACGCCCTGAATCCGAGATATCCCTTTCTAAATTATGCTTAGAAGATCAGAACAAAATTCTGACTAACAGTATACTACATACTGAACTTGGAAGCACCTATCTATTTTTAAGTACTCCTTTGAAGTTCTGCGCAATAACATATTCCTGAACAAGCGTATCTAGATTCTGTATGGAAAATCCTAAACAAATGCCGCATAACATATACACCGGATGCATTTATCGATCTCTTTTCGAAGGAACCATTTAAATTCTACACAGCAATGCATTTTTCAGTATTTATTTCTATATTCTTATTTGAAATCTCCATTCAAGTTCAGAGCAATTGTATAATCCTCTGTATTACTCTGCTTTGAAAGACACCGTTAGAGTTATCCATAATGATATATTCCGACATACTCAACTTGGAATGATCCCATATACATTCTTTCTGAAGATACCATTCAAGTTCTGCATAGCAACACTCTCTTTTTAATGAACATGAAATTCTCTATCTACTTCCAGTCGAAAGACACCATTCCAGTTCTGCACAGCAACTTGATCCGTTATACAAAACATTGAACACTGACAGTTAGATTATCATAAGAAAACAGCGTTCAAGTTAGGTACACTGCGCCAAAAAAAGGGACAGTTCAGTACTTCCTATTCTACTGGGCCGATTGAGGAAATTCAAATTGCGTTTTTCATGTCTCGGAAGCGCGATTTAGGATATATATTAGATTTATATATAGCATTGTTCTAATACAGATATTCTGACACAAAATCGAACTTTTTCTGAAATGGCATGCCAGCCAAACTGCCAGGTTTTGTAAACATCGTACGAGTAGTTATTAAAACATTAGCTCTCAAAATTTTAGCTCCTCAATGTTAATTGAATTAGATATATATTTATTATCTTCTTTTATTAAACTTATTTGATTCTTCCTTTCACATTTCGAAATTTAGGTTCATTTCAAATAAAATTCGCCTCTTTGTATGATTTATTTTTAAAACTGGTATTTTAAAATAATTTTAATAATTTTCTCAAGAAACAATTTACATTATAACCTATAAAGTCTTACCATCATCTTAAAGTAAATGTATTTCGAAGCATACCTGCAAAAGATTAGAGTTTTTTATTCAAAATTTCCTAAGATATACGGAAAATTACATATTGGCGCGTTTTGAAGTTTGGCAAATTTGTTATGAGCCATAATAACGCCGAATATGGTTTAAGCACTTAAATATAAATTATTTGAAAGTATGAACGATGACATTTTTCCACTCTGTACAATGAAAAAAAAGGAAACGAAAATCAGTTGCTATAAATTAAGAAGTTCTCCAAGTGAATTATTCTTGGCGCAAACTAAAAAAATATGCGCCAAGATAAATTTTTGAATTTCTCCGTAAATTTCGCTCCAAATTTTACAAAATTTAATATTTAGGCATAATTTGAGTCGCAGAATCGAAATACGGAAAAAATTGCCATGCCATTTCAGAAAAAGGTCGATTTTGTAGCAAAATACCTATATTAGAACAATGCTATATATAAATCTAATATAAATCCAAAGTCACGCTTTGGAGACATGAGAAACGCAGTTAGAATTTCGTCAATCGGAGCAGTAGAACGGGAGACATAGAACTATCCCTTCCCCCCCCCTTTCTTTTTCCCCGCAGTGTACATAATAAATTCCGAGCTATTGATAATAGCTTTCTTGTTTGGAGAATCCCATTTTTAACTCTATAAGTTCATTAATGTGGAAATTGCGATAAGGAACTAGTAGTTTGTTTCTATGTTCTATAAAGGAGACTTCGAGGTTCAATTAGGAAAACATCATTTACAATAGCCGATGACTATATATGCACTGTGAACACTAGTACCTTTGTTTTATTTGAAAAGATCACTCCATAAGAAAAACATATCCCGCTACACTCAGTATCTTCAACTATTTTACCTGCTTGGCTACTATTGTTTAATTATCAACATCGTTTCTGTTTTGCCTATTAATGACGTTTATATGCACGTGTTCAATTGCTTCAACCCTCAATTAGGACACAAAAGCCCAATGATGGTATTTTTTACTATTGTTTTTAGTTATAGAAATATTCAGTAAAGATATCTTTATCAGTTTTATACATTTTAATGTCATCTAACCGGGATAGTGGTTGATGACTATGACTAACGTACCGAAGTGCCAGGGTTCTGATCCAGAAGATGGGCATGGACGTTTGTAAATGTGTAGTGCTGATACTTTGATACTTTTGATATGCCTGTTTCAGCAGGAATTATATCCCGCTATTACAGGAACTTCAAATAACCCCGGTTAGGGGAGACATAACATACAGTGCTTCGCAGGAATACCTTGATAAGGGACTGCAAGAAGATTGTGTAGATGTGGCCCAGGCCAGTGTAAATGAAGAAGTCATACTTTGAAACTTCAAAATTGGCTGGCAGAAGTTAGGAGTATTTATGGGGGATTTCGATAAATGTGGTTTGCATAGGGCCTTAAATTGATGTCAATTTCTAGGAGCTCGTACTTAAAATTGTCAGAATAATTTACCTCCGCGTTGGTGATGGCTTTCTTGAAAAAATTATTATTTAATTTGTTGATGAATAACGCCAGATTTTGGAGTTTAAGGTCTCTGTGTAGCTGTTCATTGCGGACGAACCATGGGGCTTCTGTGATTTTTCGTAAGTAGTTGTTTTGGAAAACCTGCAAATTATTTAATACGGAGGGGGGGAACAGAGCACCATGCAGGGAAGGCATATGTAAGGATGGGTCTTAATATTGATGCGTAAATGTGCTTCTTGCGAGCAAGATCCAGTGGTGAGGAGGCGGCAAGAAAGTTTCGGAGTTTCCTAGAGACTCCTATGGCTTTCCCGATGGTCATGGAAATGTGAGGACCCCATGTAAGCGAGCCGTTAAAACGAACTTCCAAGTATGTAGCCTCTCTGACTTTGGGCACCGTTTCATTAAAGAGGGTCAGATCTGCATCAGTGCTTTTTCTTCTCTGACGTCCTATCAGTAATAATTTAGATTTTGTGGCATTAATCGACGTCCCCCATTTGCGACACCATTCCTCTATCTCGTGTGTGTTGTTTTGTATTCTGATCATGGCATGTCGTGGATTAAGTGAAATAGAAAGGATGGTGGTGTCGTCCGCGTAGCAGGCGGTGATGCAGTTTGTATTTTCAATCATAGGGAAGTCCTTAACATATATAAGATAGAGAATAGGCCTAAGGATGCTTCCCTGGGGGCACCGGCTTTAATTAATGTGTTTTCAGAATAAATATCGCCCTGCCTCCCATAGAAGGATCGATCACTTAGAAAGGAGTGAAGAATCAAAATCGTTTTCCTGGGGAGATCAAGGGAAGCAAGCTTGTAGATAAGTCCGTTATGCCAGACGCGGTCAAAGGCTTTTGCCACGTCCAGCATAAGGAAAGAAATTGTCTGGTGCTTATGAATAACTGCGCTTAAAAATTCAACGATTCTGACAAGCTACATTGTGGTAGACAACCCTTTACGGAAACCAAACTGCTGGTTTGGAAGCGCGTTTAGGGCTGGCTGTAGTCTTCTGCAGATAATCCTCTCTAGGATCTTTCTCAGTGCAGGAAGCAAGCTGATTGGGCGAAACCCATCCGCGCTTGTATTATTTTTTCCGGGGTTTGGGAATTAAGATGACAACCGCTTGTTTGCACTCAGCTGGGAAATAGCGTAGGTACAGGCAGGCGTTGTAAATGCTACAGAGTTTGTTAATGAAATTACCATGCAGATGTTTAATCATTGAATTAGAGATTTTGTTCTTCCTAGGTGCTTTTCTATTATGAAGTTTAGCTATAATAGAACTAACTTCTGTGGGAGAGGTAAAAACAGGAAGATTTTTGACACTGGGGTGGTTAATCTAATTATCGACAAACATGTTAATGTGATTAATGAAATTTCAGTCTGAAGGGGTCTCATTTGGAGTGAATTTCTTGGCGAAGTGGATGGCAAAGACTTTAGCTTTGTCTTCGTTGCTGTATTAGAATCCAGTGTCGTCTTGTAGAGGTTTGTTGTTTGTTTTTGTCGACTTCATTAAACGGAGGGACTTCCTGAATTCTCCGTCTTCCGCATTTAATTTTCAATTTTGTTATTCCAAAGTTTAGTCTGGTGGGAGTCAATTAACCTTTTAATATTGCGATTAAGTTTATTAATTTGCGATTTAATTGCTGGGTTACGTGAGTGGGCGAAGAT